TTTATATATTGCCAACCCAACCATTAGATTATATTCCTAACAGCTGGGATATAGGAAAAGAACTTTCTGAATTGTGGAACTTTCATCCTTTTTCCTAGTTTATTTTCTTTGATACTGTCAGCCTCTGTTTTGCTTGCTACGCTTGCTTGCTATTGGCTGCCATAGGAATGGGTGTGTGTGTGCATAGTATTGAGGAAGGGAATTATATTGTACTGGAGGAGTCTTGTTCTCAGCATCCTCTGTGCATGCTGGTGGCTGATGTTTGGATTGGGTCAAGGCCAACCTTTTCGCATACCAACTTGATGAGGCTGTTTGAAGATGCACCCCACATGACACATTAGGGAGTTGCAGATTGGACAATGGGTTGGGGAATTGGGGGGAGGGTGCTGGGTAAACATTTGATATGTATATATTCCCGCCCGTCTGACTCAGATCTTGCTTTCCTTTTGCTGTTTTCACTTCATATCTAGTAAAAGTACTGTGTTTCCCCGAAAATACAACAGGATCATATTTTTTTGACCCACAAAATATGGCCTTGGGCTTATTAGAGGGGGAGGGCTTATTGTTTTGGGGTTGCCGGGCAGCTGCTTCCTTGCGAGCGGGCTCCTGAAGAGCCGGGCAAAAACCTCAGGGACAAAGCAGCCATGAGATGACCATGCTCACGAGCAGCCACCCGGCAAACCCCCTCTTCAGCTGGGCAGAGTACCATTCACTGACCTAGGGAATATCCCTAAGGCGCCAAGCCATGTGGCACTCTACTCGCCCCCCAGCTCCTGCAGCTTAGCACATTCGGGATACCCCCTAGGTCAGTGCATGGAGCTCTGCCCGGCTGGAGAGGGGGGTTGCATGAGCGCCTGCTCCGCCCCCAGCTTGCATGCCTCCCAGCCTCACCATGCTCTGGGCAAGCTGTCCTTGCAGCCGCTGCTTAGCTCCGAGCAAAATTTCTTCTACGGCTTCCAAACTCTGGAACTCGGCTTCCGATTGTTCCAGCAGCGGCTCCTCTAGGAGTGTGTTTTTTTGTTATGGGCAGGCTGCCAGAAGACTTTGTCCGGCAGCCTGCCCATAACCATAGAAAACACTCCTAGAGCGGCCACTGCTGGAAGAATCGGAAGCTGAGTTCCGGAGTTTGGAAGCCGGAGGATAAATTTTGCTTGGAGCTTGGCGGTGGCTGCAAGGGCATGGTGAGGCTGGGAGTCATGTGAGCTGGGGCAGAGCAGGCGCTCGCGCAGTCCCCCTCTCCAGCCGGGCAGAGCTCCATACACTAACTTAGGGGGTACCCTGAATGTGCCACGCCGCAGCAGCTGGGGGGCAGGCATAGCGTCACATGGCTTGGCGCCCTAGGTCAGTGAATGGTACTCTACCCAGCTGGAGAGGGGGTTTGCCGGGTGGCTGCTTGTGAGCATGGTCACCTCATGGCTGCTTCGCCCCTGCAAGGGAGCAGCCAGCCAGGCAGAACACCACTCCCCAACCTAGCAGTATCCCGAAGGTGCCAAGCAACGTGAGTGCCTTTCTCGCCCACCCCCTCCCGTGGCTTGGTGACTTCAGGATACCGCTAGGTCGGTGAGTGGTACTCTGCCTCGCCAGAGGGGGGCTGTCCAGGGGGCTTACTTTTTTGGGGGGGGGCTTATATTTTTGCCCACCCGAAAAATGTGGCAAGGCTTTAGTTTCAGGACATGTTGTATTTTTGGGGAAACACGGTACTTTATCTCTATTAAAATGGAGTTGAGGTTTTCCTTTGTTGGATATTGAGCAAGATCTCCCTTCACACCCATCCCGAAGTTAAAAGCTTCCATGGGGGGAGCACCCAAATGTCAAACCACTGCAACTAGCAGGAGAAGACGATGGCAAGGGTCACACCAGCCGAAAACCAGAGGATGACTGGCAGGCAGCTGAAAGAGATGATCTCATGATGACCCATGCTTTATACCTTCTTCAGGAGGCTTGGGAATGACGGTGCGCTTGTGTAAGTCTCACTGAAAGGGAGAGTGGAATAGCCGAACAGGCGGAGAGGGTACAGAAGACCTGGTTAGCCCTGAAACGTCCCTGGAAACAG